TGCCGCTGTAATAATGTCGATGAAACTGCTCCAGATTAACCCATTTGCACCATTACCAACTCGACCGCAGCAATGCAGGGTCAAAATTTATTTTTCGAACCATGACACCAGTTAAAACTACATCCTCCTTAGGTTTTAGATACTTTCCATTCTCCGCTTTAAATAAGAACTCAAGATCTTCGTTGTTCGGGAAATATGGGTCGATGTCACCCTCAGTACCAACGCTGAGCGGTTTCACGTTTCTTCAAGGGCTGCAATTTTCTAACATCGACTCCTACCTCAAGCACAAACTGAAAGAACGCCTCATCCTTCACAACCACGCGTGCATACCTTGGGTGCGAGCAATAAGCAATACTAGGAGACATATACAATTCTAGAAATCCATGTTGGCATTGACGAACGAAAAGTCCGTTTTCAACAATCTTGTGAATGTTTTGAGGATGTGTGTCGTGGTACAGCGTGTGCCAGTTTGAACCCCAATCTGGAAGCGATGTAAAATTCACCTGCAAACTGAGACGGTACCAATTGCATGAAACATAGTACGGAAATAGCTCCGGTGAAGACGCTAGTCGGCATTCCCAGTACGTGCCCAAGTCGATCAATCCCACAATAGGATCTGATCGGAACCGGTCAGATCCCATCGGATTCCGATCGAATCCCATAAGATTTGATAAGGATCCTATAGGAAAACATCGGATTACCGGGTTGAGGAATCCGAGGGGAATCCGTCGGATCGGAATCCAATCACATCCTACAACTGGAACCACATCGGAAACAACCACCATTCAACTATCGGATCCCGGGTTGGGAATCCAATGCAATCTTACAGCGGAAAACCCATCGAAAACAACCATCATTCAACTATTGGATTCCGTGGCGCCATCGACGACGCCAGATTTGGATTCGTGGACCTCCATAACCTATTACAAACTTACCTCAGAATTTAGCTCGGAGTTAAAATGAAAAATCTACCTTTACAGCTTTTGACTCTGGGATGGACCTATTTTCTGACCAATGGAAGCCCGCCTCGAAAAACTAACTACATATTCGGGTTACTGGACCGCGATAACCTATAACAATGTCTGTTAATTTTGAAAAATCTGTTTTATGTCTTGGTGGAAACGTTCAAGTCTTCACTGTGTAGAATGTCGTTGAAACCGGTAAGAAGCACAAAGGATTTGAACGATAATTTGCCAAAAATGTTTGGCTTTAAGTGCTGATGTGGGTCGAATTAGATGCTATAAAAGAGCATGAAGTATGCAAGGGAAATCTAGAGATGATCGTCGTATCCTATTGGAAATCGATTGAAACCCATAGTAGGAATGCTTACTGCTTCCGACAGTCCGATATCGTTGGGTGTTCGCAGGAATCCGACTTTCGGATCCGTTGTTGGGTTCCTCAACCCGGTAATCCGATAAAATCCTATAGGTTGGTAGGATCCTATAAGATCCGATAGGATCCTGCGTCGGATTGAATGACCTGGGATGTGCAACGATGTCGTATTATGCTTAGTGCATCTCTTGGTGCAGTACCCACGATCGTACGCTTTACTCCAGTGCAGATGTGTAACGCGCACAAGCGTTTCATGATCAATGTCCTCATATGTAACAGGGACGCAGCAGCAGGGCTCCACGATCTAAAATAATTGACGAATTACTGAACCTTTGAGTTTCGTACATAGGCATGTGTGTGTTTCTGGGTCTGGATGCGAATGTTTTTTTGGATGTGGGTGATGGTATAGTATCCCCATTTGTTCACACTCACTTGCACATCCAGACCCAGACCTACACCCACACTTGAAATCCTTTTACCAAGTACAATAATACTGACGTGTATATTGTCTTGATTGTATTGTTTGACAGCCACATGTAATGCCTCACAAATGGGCTTAATTGATGTATGCACTCCGTTGATTTTTGTCCATTTGTCGGCCCATGCTTTATGTAGTTCTTTGTTGCCACAATATATATATATTGTATCTAATTGTGGCATGCCATGAATGCGTGGTACCAGATATTGTCCTAATGTACCAGACGAGATGACAAATGCTTTCTCTTTATTGTTTTTTTTAGACTTGTAATACATTGTTCGGCTGTGGAACACTCCTGAATTTCATTGGCTACATGGCGCAGTTGTGTTAATGTGTTCTGGCAATCTTCATTTGATGGGTCAATATTTCTGTCGACCCAAATCACGATGAAATCTTTGCCCATGCCTCGTCTTGCAGCCATGGTAGTCGTCAATGATACTGTTGCTTTGATATTCGAGATAATAAATAATGCTTTGTTGCTTGAACAGAGAAATTACCTTTTTGTATTTACGTATATATCGACTCTTGCTTTGTGTTTTGCTAACACTCCGTAAAAAAAACTCACCGAATTTCAAACGGAGGGGGTGTGGGGGTGTGGGGGTGTGGGTGTGGGTGTCGGTGAGATCTGTAAGTCATGGTGGATGTTTATTACGTCATTCATCGAGAGATACACACCCATACCCACACCCACGCCGTTCTATATTTAATTATTAATATAATAAAATTCCGTTGTGTAGAACTAACTACTAATTTAAATCTTGCCTAAATGATAACTAAGACGTAATATTGTGTAATTTCAGTCATGTGTCTAAAAATAAGACACATGTTCAGTCTAAACCGAACTATAGGCACATACACCGTCTTGTAAGACGGATGGCATTTTTTACAGTGGATTTTAATTAACAAAGTACCGTTGATGTAGTGTGTTAGTACAAAACACAGTACTTTTTCAAAATCGTAAATACCACCAGTACTTTACTTTTCCTTGAGGTACTTCATATTTATATTAGAAACACTGATCACAATTACCTCACCGATATGAACAAATTGCCTGTAAAAGGGCGACATCTTAAGAATGAAATAATAAAATAACCAATGATATTTTTAGTTTGTTCTTTTGTGTCTTTGTTTTTCGTTTCACATTCCAGAGATATTTAAAGTAATTCATGAGCAAATATGCCATGTATAATATTCTTTTTTTAAATTCTATATTTTAATATTCATGTTTTTTTTTCTTTCACTTTGTCACTTATTTATTTTTTAGTATTTATGGATTCGTCTATATTATATCAAGAACTGCTTTTTATTTTATATTAAATATAATATTCTCTACTGAATTAACAAATTTGGTATCGGTTTTTATTGATGATGAATGATTTAAATTCATCGGTAAGAGAAAAAACATTTCTTACGACTTTTTCACGTTAAACTACCTTAGTACAAGAGTAAAAAGGAATTTTACTAATGTAAAATGATGTTCTTTAACGAGGGAAGGTCCCCAAGTGTTTATCCGGGGTTCACAATGAAAACTATATGACGATTACAAGTCAAGTACTCGTATCTCAAATGTGAAAAAATTAGCGGCTGAGACTGGATCAACAAAAATATTTTAATTAAAATATTTTTCAATATAAAATATTTTTCAATGAAAGCCCTGAGGGGGGACCACAAGTGAATTTTTCTATGAGAACAATATTTTGTGGAAAATTCTGAAACATGTATGAGTTGATTAAGATATTTTTTACAATTTAAAATATAAGTTTAGTGTTAGTTTGTGCTGTATTTTTTAATGCAAAACTTGCTAAAACATGATTAATTAAAATTCGTACAAAAGTATGTCTTCAGTAAAACCATTTACGAAGTTCGTTAATGACTGACTCTGAAAGAATTGAAAAATATGAGACGTCTCAGTATTTGAAAGAGATCGTTAACATAAAGTTTCATTGAGTTATTACTGTCTTCTATCTGTGAAAGAATTTTTAATAATAAGCATAAGATTGATATACCCAGTGAATAAACAACCAAGTAAAGTACCCGACTCGTCTTCTAGCGTAGATTGACAGTAAAGATTTTCTAATCGAAAGCAATAAGTATATTTTATTAATGTTTATGATCAAGAAAGAAATATTGGTTAAAGCATAGTACACGATTACAATAGTTGCAACTAATGAAAGAAAACTCGTTTCATGTTATCCTAGAACAAAAGTCTTGATTAAAAGACAACAAATATCCGAAACATTTCTGGACAGTTCAGGGTCTTTTTAAAAATATCCACTTGAATACCAGCAATATTTGATCATAGACGAAAATATTTGTGCCACGAACTGGTTGTGAATCAAAGAATGCATTTTTAAAATATTGTTTCTACAAGAGATGTCAATATTGGTTTCATCAATGGTCACACGATCATATTCTTTTGCTTAAAATATTTTCATGGTCGAAAAAATAACAATTCAAAGGTTGAATTTCCTTGTCGTTTCTGGTGGTATTTATTAATCATACCAATCTTATGCTTATTATTAAAAATTCTTTCACAGATAGAAGACAGCAATAACTCAATGAAACTTTATGTTAACGATCTCTTTCAAATACTGAGAAGTCTCATATTTTTCAATTCTTTCAGAGTCAGTCATTAACGAACTTCGTAAATGGTTTTACTGAAGACATACTTTTGTACGAATTTTAATTAATCATGTTTTAGCAAGTTTTGCATTAAAAAATACAGCACAAACTAACACTAAACTTATATTTTAAATTGTAAAAAATATCTTAATCAACTCATACATGTTTCAGAATTTTCCACAAAATATTGTTCTCATAGAAAAATTCACTTGTGGTCCCCCCTCAGGGCTTTCATTGAAAAATATTTTAATTAAAATCTTTTTATTGATCCAGTCTCAGCCGCTAATTTTTTCACATTTGAGATACGAGTACTTGACTTGTAATCGCCATATAGTTTTCATTGTGAACCCCGGATAAACACTTGGGGACCTTCCCTCGTTAGATTAATACTTGTAAAAAGTGTTTTTTGAAATTCGATAAAAGATAGAAATATATCATTTGTTGACAATTCGATTCGTTTTATAATGTTCACTCGTTTTTATTGAGTTTTTTTAGATGAACTCGTGCAATTATTTTCTTTTAGTCTAGTTCAGATGAACAAATATTTGTCAAAAATCAACTAAATAAAATGGTTACATTCGTTCCAAACGAAAGAGCATTTTTTAATTATGAAACAAAATCATTAAATCGAACATATAATTATCTTTATAATGAATCGAAATGTCGAATTACTTTACCAGAAATTTCACGTGACAGTTTAATAATATCATCTTTATTAAGTATTCGTCGATTAATTGTCAGAATAGGTGTTTTTTATGAAACTGGTTCCAGTATTCAGTTATTTTTTGGTAGTGGACTGTTATTAAATGATAAACTAGTTTTAACGTGTGCACACAATTTCGATGCTATTGAATGGGAAGATAAACCTATTCGTCATTCTAAAATTGTTATATGTTGCTTAGATCCAGCCAATGAAAGTTTATTTTCTATGTTTAATCCTAGTGATGATTTAATTGAAGCAAAACTATTTCGACGTGGCTTGATACAAGATAATATGTCGAATTATGATGAATCAAATGTCAATACAACTGATCTTGCTATTCTTTTATTAGATAAACCTATACAAAGTTTATCATCAAATGAATTTTTCGATCCGAAATTGAATTCATTATTACCTAAATCAAATGATATTCCAATGAATTCTCAATTATTTTTGATTAGTTATAATGGAGAATTAACTGATAACAACGAATTAAATCCTTATAAAGATGAAAAAGGTTTTGAAAATGTTTCAATTGATAAATTAAATTTTTATCATAATGCTAACCACAAATCAGTTTCTATCGGGCGTCTTATTCAAGACTCACCTTCAAATGATAAACATGTCATGCATAGTTGTAGTACATTAAGAGGATCAAGTGGAGGTGTAGTATTATATTCAACTGGAAAATTTGCTGGAATACATATTGGAGTGGCCAATTCGCGAAAACGAAAACATAACGATGTTTTCTTCAATAAAGAAACATTCAACAAGTATTTACCAGTCGCTTCAACAAAATTTCGTCAATTTATTATAGAATCAATTATACCAAATATCGATAATGATACAGCAGACAAATGGCAATTCGATTCTAAATAAAACATGTGTTTTTTGTATTATTATCTGACTAGGTTTTTCTTTTTCTTTATTACCGGATTACATATTATATAATTTGTTCTTTGCACATCGATCATACTTATTTTAATTCATTATTAGAACTGCTGTTTCACATGATATTGTTAGAGCGAGTATGAGTAAGTTTTGTTACGAAAAAAAACTTATTTAATTCTTACTTTCTAATGTGAGCAAGGATGATTGCTAGTGTATACTGAATTAAAAATAGTATATTCACACCTACATCTACGCACTCAACAAGATTGATCAATAATTGATTTTGTCGGTAAAAAATTGAGAAGATTAATAAATATATCATCTTGTACTACAATATCAAGTCGCTCACTAAGAATTTCAAGCAACGAATAGAGAAAATCAATCTCTATTCATTTTGTAACTATCACTTTTCTGAATTACGTTCAAGATAAAAGCTTAGTCAAATTTTCAATTTTAACCATATGACAGCGAAGGTTTTTGTTTGATGAACAGAAAAAAGTAAAGAAACACAAATAATTACCGAGTCAATTGACTTTTATTTTATAAAATATATTAACAACTATTATGAGTCTTTAAATAATTTAGTTCATATTTCCGAATTTAGAGGTGAACCTCTTCGATTAGATTCGACCCCACATCTGAGAATCCTGCGCGGTCGCTTCACAATATTTATTGACGCAAAATAAAATGATGCTACGCTAATCAAAGAAAAGTGAGTGTCTTTCAGAAAAAAAGTTAACTGAATTATATTCGTATACTACTTATTCAAGATAGAAAAAAATAAATAATTGTTTATTTTATAGTTTATGGATAAAAGCTAACGAGAAAGATATATTCAAACAAACTATATAATCAATATTTTTAATAGAAATATGAAACAAAAGTATATGTAGTAGTTACTTCGTTTCAGTTGACTAAATATCTGTTGGTACTTTGCTATTTAGAAGAAACTACCAGAGTAATGAATTGATTTAAGAAAAACAAAAACAAAGTTATGACTATTCGATCTTTTAATGAAAAATATATTCCAATATGGAACAAAAAAGTAATATATAATAAGAAAAAAAGGAATTTAATCAATTAAAATGGGTTTGATTTTCAATCTGTTCTTCAGATTTTCTTTCGTTAATAATTTGTAATTGGTTACTAATTTAAGCAATTTTAAAAATTCTTATTTTAATCAATTATTAAGACTACCTTAAATAAAATAAGTTTTAACGGATCATTTTTGTAATTCGTTAAAACCGATGATAATATATTTATTACAGACATTATCAATTAAAATAAATGTAGTTTTTGATCTACACAACGGGTTTTTATAGTTGAAACCGATTATAATTGATTCTTTTGTGGAATAATCTATTCAATTTTGTTATTTTTTTTTTGATTTATTCAGAAAATGCCTTATTTAATCAATTTTTTATAATTATTCGGAAAGAAAAATCAAATATAATCTTATTTATTAACTCTTTTCATACATATGATAATAATGATATATCATGTATAGAAACGTTGTTATTTGTTATCTTTGTTTCTGTTAAATACAGTAGCTATAGCATAAACACTTCTAGGGCTTTTATCTATCACTACAGTACGAGCTTGAAAGGAAATTATCAATTGGATATGAAGATAAATTTCTATTTTATATTTTGTTTTTTTTCTTCATAAAAATATCCTTCTCATGAATACTGGTAAATAAATATTCATAAAAATCAAGAGGTAAAAACAAATTTTTGAATGACAGAAATCATGTAAAATTAATTTGTGTTCCAATGATGTAGAGTTGAAATTCTTCTATTAACATTTAAATATCCTGCATTAGAAATATACTTTAATTAAATAAAATAAATTTATTTTACATATTATATTTTCTAATACCATTATTATCTCATAACAGTATAGAATATAAGATACTTTTCTCTTTTATTCGCAATGTAATAATAATATATCAATCTATAATTGCAAATGAAAAATAATTTTATAAAGATTTTGAACATTTCAATTTTCTATAAACATAGTTTATTTATTTTAGTACCATTAATTCGTCTATCACCTCTTGTAAAATTATGTGTTACTCTTTGTAATGCTTCATAATCGCCATAAAGAAGGATATTATTTTAGAAACATGTTTTCATATTACATAAAAATTCTTCATGATATAATTATCATGAGATCGATCTATATCAAGTTCAATAAAATAATTACATTTAATAATTGATAAATTCTGATTATTATTCATTAATTTATAAGATTGTTTATGATTTTGTTCTGGACGATTAGTGATAGATAGTTTTTTCATAAATGGAAATGATTGAGCAATTTGAATAAAAAATATATGTTCAAAAAGATATTCATCACATAATGATACAACACGAATATATGGATATAAATCACGTGAAAAATTAAAATTATTTGTAATATTTTCATAATGTTTCATGAAAAACGGATACGAATAAATATGACATACATCCTATTTATACTCTAGAAAATAATCAACACAAGATATTATATTTGTATACGGAAAATCATCGAATGTTCGTTGAATATCTTCTTTCAATGGTAAATTTATTTCATTATTGATACACATATATAAGAATGTATATCAAATGTAAATTGTTTTATTTGTGATATATGATTAGAAACATTTTTCTTTAAATTATGACCATCAATAAATATTTCTTTAACAGAGACTGCTAGATTCATCACAAATTTTTCTAAATTTGGCATTCGATAGAAAAGTGACAAAATTAATTCATTGTAAAATAATGTTTTCAACAAGCGAGACAAAACAAAACATTTCAGATTTGGAATTTTTTTTAGAGAAACAAAAGTAAAAACAGTCAAATTTATTTTCTTTTAAAACTAACTTGATTTTCAATTTCTTCTGATGGAGAAAAAATATCAGCCAATTCAATATGAGGTGTATGAAGTTGTTCGAAACGATCATCAAGAATATAAAGACATATCTGAAAGTGTTTTCTCTAGCTATTTAAGACTTATCATCGCTATTTAAACAGATCTATGACTTCGTATGTTTCTCTTATTTATTTACGTTTCTTACCGATATATAAGTATTTCTATGAGTGTTCGACGTTTTGCTACAAATGTACCATCTATGCATCTAAAATCAATCGTGAACTCGTCATTCGAGCATTTTTCTAATGTATATTTCGGATTGCGGCTTTTATTCAGTATTAGCATAGCCAAATCATGAGAAGGATGCAGTTTCAATTGCTTGAAAAATCATCAAATAGAGCTGATGTCACAATGCTGCTGATGATGATGATGCACGACTTTCTCGCGCTTACTTACTTTTTAGAGCAAGAAGGGCGAAAAAAAGGGAAAAATATAAAATAGCTACACGGTTCCTTTTCTTTAGGTTCTTCAGGTGGCGTTGTGTGATAGATATGCAACGCTGATCAGGAAATCTTCATAATCATAGGAATGGGTTACAGTTATTTGTGTCTGATTACTGTTTCGAAAAATGAAATCTGTAACTAAGGCATCAGTTAATGATATTGTTTATGACTTTTTCTACAGTGATATTTATTAGAATACACTGTACTCATTTATTATAAACATGTTTCAGGATTGGAGTTTTTACCATACATAAGAGAAATATTCTTTCTGTATTGCATTTTTTCTACTACGTTCATCTGTTGCATTCAAAAGTACATGTAATGTATTGGATTCGAACTTTGCGATACTGAAAAGATTGTACTCTAGTTACAGTATAAGAGACTCTTTATACTTTTTTGTTGGATTAAAATACAGATTCATTCAGTGGCGTCCCAAATCAAAGATTTATCATGACATTGAGGATCTTTAGAACGGATCAGAGACGTGCACAGGACAGGACGTCCTGATGTCCTGTGATGTCCTGTCCTGTGNAGAATTGATAGTTTTTCACCAGTTTTTCAGAAACAATGGAGGTAATTTTGATATGCGAAAAATAATCATTTTCAAAAACGTCATTGAACCTTTTACTAAGACTCTTACTATTCGAAGAAGCTTCAAAGGAGACTAATTATTAGGATACAGTTTTATAAGGAAATCTTTGCTGTATCTCTTGCAGTACGCAGAATAATTTTTTACATCTATCTTGGATTATATTTTTGGTATTGAAAACCGTCCAAACGTTATTTTCGCGCCTTTCAAAACTTCAAGCATAATTTCTAATCTAAGTGTCTTAGAAAAATTCTGAACGCAGATTCTGAAAGAACACAAAATTTTGATTCTAATACAATGTTTTTAAAATTTGGCTAACTCTTGCAATTGATCGGAAAATGAGCGAACATTTTGTCCAGAAACTTTCGCACAAGACGTTAGTATCCATCATGCTAAATTCGATCGTTCGAGAGGAGACTAGAAAAAAATTGACGTTGGTCGGCGATGTCAATGGTGGGTTTGAGGTGTAGATGAAAAAAAGATTCTTAATAACTCACCTCATCCACATCATCTCACGTCAGGTTTGGAAAAACAAAAGATATAACGAAAGATATATTATATATTATACTGAAAGGTTTGTGAATTGTGTACTTGTACATCCATCGGAGTAAGTATCAATTTTTTATCATTGCCTAGCAAAAATATCAATTAGGTATATCAATTTAATGACTATAGCTTGTATGAAACAACAAGATGAACAATTTGTCATCATACTGTTGACAATATTTCCTGGTTAGGATTAAAATGATATATTCTTATCTGGATTATCTTGCGAAAATTAAATGAAACATGTCCTATTAATCGACCAAACATCATTCTCGTCAGAACCACACTCTGTTGAATTAATAATATTGTGATCTACGACATCTAGTCTTTCTGAGCAATGTTATAGTTACTTTTTTTTTCTAAACGGTATTTCTATTTCGAAAGAAATAGTGCGATTTCATTTAATAGCTGAAGGCTTTTCAATCGATTCATCAATTTACTGAAAACTATATGACATGAAATAGTCCGGAATCCATTTCATAATGATAATAGTAATGATGCTGATGAATCAACAATATTTTGTGATACTTTGATTTTCTACTTAATATTATTCATTTTCATTCAGTGTATAAGCATGTAAATATAACGCGTATCATTTTTTTTCCGTTTGTTGCCGCCTCGTCGTTGCAAAGCACGAATACTATCGACTAAGTTGAAGCAGAAAGAAGAAAAAAACTCAATGCTTCCACTTTACCACACTTGTGTATTAAACAGTGCCTGGAGAAAATTTCTCTGTTTAGCTTTCATTGAGTAACTTGGAAAAAGAACAGCTTCATTTTTTTTTCTTGTTTTCGAACCAATCAAATAGAAGAATGGAATAAAAAACACACGTCAGAAAACGATAATTTTAATAATAAGAACTTTCTCTTGAAAAAAGAAAGGAAGACGCGCTAAACCAACAATATTTCTTCGTATTATGTGTAATAACAAGAATATACGGAGTGAGTGTTACTCAAAGTTCATCATCATAAACTGATTTTATGCGTGTAATAATACACGTGCTATTACTATTTTGAATAAACTAAAAGGACAATAGGAATGACTATCATTTACCACAAATAGAAATCCACAGACACATCTATACATCGTATCCACACTTGTGGTGAATAAAACAAATATGACCCATTCTGGTGACCAAATAGGGATTTTTGATTTAGGGATTTTTCAATTTAGGGATTTTGTTTTATACAATATCTTGTTCAAGTCACAACCGAACAAGGTTCCAGTTAGGGGTTCACCAATACCAGTATACTGGGNAAATCCCTAGATCAAAAATCCCTATTTGGTCACCAGAATGGGTCATATTTGTTTTATTCACCACAAGTGTGGATACGATGTATAGATGTGTCTGTGGATTTCTATTTGTGGTAAATGATAACCAACCAAAGCTGTTAGCGCAATCCTATGCGATTAAAATGTGAAACACGATGAAATTTCTTTGCTGGAACCCGCCTACTACGGTCTGTGAGTATTTGAAGATTTTTTGCCAATGTCTGCAATTATATATGGAGCCTTTCAGGCATGGTCTGTGGTGATCTGTGGAGCTTTTCTGTCACGGTCTGTATCATGATGTATCGAGCCCCTAGAGACCATCACAGACCGTTACAGAGAAATGAATTAACTAATCAATAATTAATTAATCAACCAATTAATCGATTAATTAATTTCTCTGTAACGGCCTGTGAGGAGGGTGTCGGGGGTCCAAATTTTTACCCTATATACTTCAACACTCCTTTCAGATCGTGTTTCACAAAAAAATTTACAAGCGCATTAGTTTTTAACGCTAATACCAAATGTGTTTTACTCTTTTTTTAGATGTTATGTTAAATTATACATACGATATATCTAGTGAGTACAATAATGGATTCAGAAACAGTAGAAAATGCAACTGTTTCACAAATTGCAACGGATCGTGCACAAATTTCAACTTGTCGAACAAAGATGATTGAGCAACAAAATTTAGAAAACTTTCAAATCATCTGGCTTGATGATAATATCAATACAACAGAGGATAATTTACACACGGTATCTTTGCTACGGACTATTATCAATTATTTACACATATTTGACAATATATGGGATTGCTATGACTATATAGGCACAGTTCAAGATGAAAAAGTATTTTTGATTGTATCAGGTTCAATTAGTGAAAATATAATACCCTATGTTTATCATATACCACAAGTTCAGTTTGCTTACATATATTGCTTTGACGTCGAAAAGCATAAAAAATGGGAAACAGAGTATGGAATAGTGCGTGGAATATATGTCAATATGAACGATATTTGTAAGCAAATAAGTACAGATGTTATTATATGCTCGCATCAATTTTTATCTATGAATATTATTTCTACGAAAATAAAGGAAAAAGAAATAAACAAACAAGAAGCGTCATTTATGTATTTTCAGTTACTAATTGAAATTCTGATTGGAATGGAAGAAGAACCGGATGCAATCACAAATATGATAAGTTACTGTCGGTTACAGTATGATGGAAATGAAACAGATTTAAAACATATCGATGAATTCAGCAAGACATATAAACCAAATAAGGCAATATGGTGGTACACAAAACATTGCTTTTTATATGAAATATTAAATAAGGCGCTTCGAACCCAAGACGTTGATGTTCTTTTTAAATATCGTTTCTTCTTGAGAGATCTTCATAACCAAATAAAACAATTGCATTCAGAATTTATTCAATCATTAGCAACAAAAGATGATGGCACTAAACCGAACGAATTGACTGTGTATCGTGGCCAAATTATAAGTACAGAACAATTTGAACAAATTAATAATAATTTAGGAGGACTTTTATCATTCAATAGTTTTCTCTCAACCACCGTTAATCCTGAAGTAGCGTTACAATTCCTTCCACAACAACTCGACACTCCATCCATTCTTTTTGAAATAAATGCTGGCTATGATCAACACACAAAACCATTTTGCAATATAACACGATTCAGCAATTTCAATCAAGAACAAGAAGTTCTCTTTTCGGTCGGATCAGTATTTCGAATTGACTCTGTTCAAAATCTTCAAAATGGACGTTCCAAAGTAACGCTCACTTTAACTAGAGAAGAAGACGAGCAGTTGAAAGAGCTAAAAGAATACTTCCAAATGGAGCTCAACAATAGATTCGATATGAACGCTCTAGGGGCACTTATGCTGCATATAGGTGAATACGAACATGCTCATCACTTTTTCAGGATACTACTTCAGAAGAATCCATTGCAACAAACGTATATTCCCATACATCATCACAATAACGCTGTGAATTATAATAATCAGCAGCAAGATAGAAAAGAGTTGGGTACTTACGAGCAAAATTTCCAAACGCATTTAAACCCGTTACCGTCTGCTCTGCAACTATCAGCATTTGTCTATTCGAATATTGGAGTAGCTTACAATTACCAAGGCGAGTACGATAAAGCACTAGAATCTTTTGAAAAAGGACTCGAAATATTCTTAAATACATTCTCACCAAACCATCCATCATTAGGAAATATATATATTAATATTGGCTTAGTTTACAAAGAAAAAGGACATTACGATAACGCATTGTTATATTACTTAAAAGGACTAGAAATTCAACTGAAATCACTACCACCATTTCATCCGTCATTGGGAACTGCATATAGCAGCATTGGACTCGTTTACTTTTATAAAGGTGAATACGATAACGCATTACAATACTATGAAAAAGGAACTGAAATTCAACTGAAATCCTTACCACCATTTCATCCATCATTAGCAATCATATATGATAATACTGGATTACTTTACGAGCTTAAAGAGGAGCATGATAAAGCATTAGAATACTATGAAAAAGCAGCAGGAATTCAACTGAGATCCTTGCCACCAAATCATCCATCATTAGCAACTACATATGTTAATATTGGATTAGTTTACACTCATACAGGAAAATACGATAAGGCCCTAGAATATTATGAAAACGGACTAAAGATTCAAATGAAAGCGTTACCATCATATCATCCATCATTCGCATTTACATACAATAATATCGGAATATTTTACAGTGACAAATGTGAATACGATAAGGCATTAGAATATTTCGAGAAAGAGCTGAAAATTGAGCTGAACTCATTACCAGCATCTCATCCATCAATAGCAACTACTTATGCTAACATTGGATCAATTTACGATCAAATCGGTCATTACGATAAAGCATTAGAATCCTGTACAAAAGGACTGGATATTCAACTGAAATCATTATCATCACATCATCCATCATTAGCAACCACCTACGGTAAAATTGGGCAAATTCATAGTCACAGAGGTGAATACGATAGGACCCTAGAATATTATAAAAAAGAACTGGAAATTCAACTGGCAACAGTAAAAGGAAATCATCCATCATTGGTAAATACATATAATAACATCGGCTCAGCTTATGATGACAAAGCTGAGTACAATAAGGCACTAGAATATTACGAAAAAGCACTGGAAATACAAGATAAGTCTCTATCATCAGATCATCCATCATTAGCAATTACATATGCTACTATTGGGTCAATATACGATAAGATAGGTGAATACAAGAAAGCATTAGAGTATAACGAAAAAGGATTAGAAATTCAACTGAAGTCATTACCACCGGATCATCCAACTATAGGAACTATATATTGTAATATGGGAACTATATATCGTGAACAAAGTGAGTATGATAATGCATTAGAATACACTGAGAAAGGACTGAAAATTCTATTGACCTCGCTAACAACAAATCATCTATCACTAGCAGCCGCATATGTAGCTGTTGGATCAGTTTACAATGCGAAAGCAGAATATGAAAACGCATTAGAATATTATGAGAAAGCAGTGAAAATACAACAAAAGTCGTTGGGATCAAATCAACAACCCTTAGCAGATACATATAATAAGATTGGATTACTTTATAATGGCAAAGGTGAATACCATAAGGCATTAGAATATTTTGAAAAAGGACTGGAAGTTCATCACAAGTTGTTACTATCGCATCATTCATCATTGGCAACTACATATTGTAATATGGGATTGGCTTGTTACGGAAATCGTGAATATTGCAAGGCGCTAGAATACTATGAAAAAGGACTAGAAGTTTTTTTGAACTCATTTTCTCCATTACATCCGTCATTGGCAACCACATATATTAATATGGGAGCAGTTTTCAAAGAAAAAGGTGAATATGATCAAGCTTTAGAATATTTTGAAAAAGGACTGGGTATTCAACTAAAGTTGTTATCATCACATCATCCATCATTAGGAACTACATATGCCCATATTGGATTAATGTATAATCACAGAGCTGAATATAATAAAGCATTACAATATTGTGAAAAAGGAATGGAAATTCTGTTGCAATCGTTTCATCCAGATCAATCATTACTATGTACTATGTATGGTAATATTGGATTAGTTCACAATGATAGAGGTGAATATGATAAAGCACTAGAATATTATGAAAAAAGTGTGAAAATTTTGCTGACAACATTACCAGCGCACTATACGATGTTAGGAACAGCATATAATAATATTGGACTAGTGCATAAGAACAAAGGTGAATACGACAAAGCATTAGAGTGGTATGAAAAAGGTCTGGACATTCTGTTGCAGTCGTTGCCATCGCTTCATCCAACGTTAGTAGCTGCATACAATGATATTGGATCTATTTACAATAGTAAAGGTGAACACGATAAGGCATTGGAATATTTTAAAAGAGGACTGGAAATGGGACTTAAAGTCTTGCCATTAACCCATCCATCGTTAGCGACTGTATTTGGTAATATTGGATCAGTTTACACTGAAAAACGTGAATATAACAAAGCATTAGAATTTTATGAGAAAGGACTCGAAATCGAACTGAAGTCGTTAGGACCATTGCATCCGGTATTAGGGACTACTTACGCTAACATGGGAGTACTTTATAAAGAAAAAGGAGAATACGATGAATCAGTAAAATATTTTGAAAGTGGGTTGACAATTTTTTTAAATTCATTGCCAGCAGATCATTTATCGTTGGGAGTTATATATACTAACATTGGATTAGTTTACGAACACAAAGGTGAATTCGATAAGGCATTAGCATATCTTGAAAAGGGCGTGGATATTAAGTTGAAAACGTTATCGGCACATCATGCATCATTAGGTAATACATATAAAAATATTGGATTACTTTGCCTGAAGAGCGGCGAATACGATAAAGGATTAGAATTTTTTGAAAAGGAGCTGAATGTTGAAGTGAATTTGTTGCCACGATATCATCCGACGTTAGCCACTACATATAGTAATATTGGATCGATTTTCAAAGAGAAAGGCGAATATGATAAAGCACTAGAATACTTCGAAAAAGAACTGGAAGTTGAACTTATGTCGTTACCATCAAATCATCCGTCATTGGTAACTACGTATGCTAATATTGGTTCAATATATAGCGAAAAAGACGACGATCTTAAAGCGTTAGAATGTTATACAAAAGGACTTGAAGTTGAATTGAAACTGCCAGAACCGCCTTGTCCATCATTAGGAGTTGCATGTGTTAATATTGGATCACTTTATAAGGAAAAAGGTATATATGATAAAGGAATAGAATATTATGAAAAAGGATTGAACATTCTTTCGGCTTTATTGGCATCGGATGATCCATTGTTAGCAACTGTACATTGTGAACTGGCATCGATTTATAATGAGATTACTGAATTTGATAAAGCATTGAAGCATTATGGAATAATATTAACAATCAAGTCGAAATCATTATCAGAAAATCATCCATCATTATTAGAAACATATTTTAATATTGCATTCGTCTGCTATAAGAAGCTATATGCGACGAAACATAGACTGTTTTGGAAAATTATGTGATCACTTTTTTCCTGCTCCTACGAAAAAAAATAAAACGAATGTTTAAATATCAGTTTAGAAATTTGCACTCATGATGATACTCATATGCGTCAGATATAACTGGCATTTAGCTAGTATTAAAATTATTTTGACTTGAATTAGTGTTTAAGAGTGAGTCTGAGAAAATCTGATGGAATCTGATACCGATGATTATGACAAATCTTCAACTTTACGGCTACTTCTCATTTGAGAACATAAATCAAACGAATTTTTAGTATAATTTAAATGTAATGACAAACTAGATAGACTAGTTAGTCGCCACCCGGGAATGATGTTTATTAGCTACTTCAGATATCTAGAGTGTATCTAATGCACATTCTGCACACGCTTATATACAACAGGGAGAGAGATACACATATGTATATATATATATATATATATAACGGGTGGGCCATAAATAATGATGGTCTCCGTATTTCGTAAATATCTCATGAAGCTTTTATCCCTTAGACTTCGTGTTTCTTTAGAAAGATTCCTCATTCAATTCTCTACAAAAAGATACGAAAAGAGTTGGTACAAAATGTAACTGTGAAAGTCCATTTGATAAACACTCATATGCTCCGAATATCCTCACTTTCATAGTATTTCGTATCGTTCTTTGCATTTCGCGTCGTTATATGACCAAGTATAGAAATATTGACGACGCCATTTTGTAGCTCTTGAAAAGCCATATTAACTTGGCGGTCTTTGAAAAATGCTGACTTTGGAACTTGGATTAACATAACGCCTTTGTTTTTCTCTCACATTTGGGTTTTTCGGACCTGCCATTAGACTTCTTCATAATCTTCATGTGGCCAGATCAAAATGTAACTTTTCACAGTCAAATTTTTCTCAGCTCGAAGAAAAATGCTTTTTCTAACATCTATAAACTAGTTTGTCAATTTGCAGTTCGTTTCGGTACAAGATTGTGCACGCGAACAAAATTTTTAATTACTCCAGCTCGTTCTTCAAGGTAAAATGACCCTGAAACCTTATAATCATATCTAAGCGACTCGTTTTAAGTGCTGTGAGAAAGAGCATACTTGAAAATAGCGAGAAATGTGCCCCACATTGATTCAACGTCTAATTAGCCAGATGAGAAAAGAAAATTAATATGGTGAAAATGTGTGTTTGAAAGTGGACCTTTTCAAAACATGCTAGAGCTCACTAGATAGAGTTTCATGTATATATTTTTTGTCAACTCTTTTCATATCTTTTTGTAGAGAATTGAATGAGGAATCTTTCTAAAGAAACACGAAGTCTAAGGGGTAAAAGCTTCATGAGATATTTACGAAATACTGAACCCTTCATTATTTATGGCCCACCCGTTATATATATAACTATATAAATAATTATATATATTACGCTTCTCTTCTTAAACGACGTTCCATGAAAAAACCAGATATTGTGAAAAATCGATCTCGAAATTTTTTTGTAATTCTTCGATATAAAAGTTTCCATTGTCCAAATTTGGTTACATACCAATCAATAGAATTTGATTTGCTTTACAGAACTATATGTATGGTTAGGGGTGGCACTTTCACTTTCGTTTCTTTCAAAAAGGAAAGCTTCTTGACTTTCTCTACTTTCCTTTCCAAAAAGAAAGGAAAGGAAAGTTAAGAAGTAAGCTAAATAGAAAGTATTGAAAACTTATACAAACTTCCCATCTACTAGTTACGTGAAATATTATGAGATAGATAGTCAACATCATAACATAATTTTATCATTGTTACATGATTTATCTTCGCTGTTTCATTGTTTTCTAGAAAATTTTCCATTTATTTTTTCTGTTCTTTCCACTTAGTCCTATGTACAGTATTAAGCTTCTGCAGAGACATACGATCCACAAAAAGTCTTGAATTGTTTAAATAAGAATTTCACGTACATATCAATATCAATATCAATATCAGTGTTTGTGAGCTTTTTTTTATGTCTATAATATTGTTTTACGACCTACTGCAGTTGTAATGGATGTATATATAATCACTCGATTTGGAATTTAAGTCATAAATGTTAAATTAAGAAACGAAGTGCCAGTAAAAATTATTTTATTCAAAATACACCAATAAATTAGACACATAGTTTCCGAAACAATCAATTCTCCTTGGAATACAATTTGTGTCTCTCAAAGATGCGCGTAGATCTGGTCACGACACTATAAGCTCTTCATATATATTGAACGTAAAGGACAAGAAGTGTCACTGATGTTGTATAACAGAAAGAAGAAAAAGTGATCTCCGTGGAGCTCAAACCCACACCTTATGCTATCCGGCCGGATGAACATCCTTAATCTTCGTTTAGTGTTAGAGAGATCCATCAATAACGCTATAGCAAACATCACCAATTAGTTTATAAGTATATCTAAACTGATCTATTTAGACGAATAGCATTTAATTAAGAAAAGACAAATACTGAATCAAAATATTATCTTATCAGTTAGAATTCGGTGTCCGATAACTTCAGTTCTAACCGAAAAGAGGGTTCAAATCATTCTGTTATTTTGAGATGTTCGAGTTCGAATTACAAAGAAGGAATTTGATATTTTTGGCTTTAGAGCATCTGCGAGGCTCAATAATAACTTCACAATACCAACCTGTTAGGATCGATATGTAATGACAAACTGGATAGGAATACCTTACCACCACTCTTCGTAATGATGTTTATTCGCTTACTTTCCATATCCAGAGTGATAAGACTAAATAAAAATTCATCAACCATAACAAAATTTAACTATGAAAATAAAATAAAAATTTATATGTAACTATTCAAAAGAAAAAAAAGAAATATTTTACCTTGAAGAGTAAAGGATAAATGAAAAGACTTATCTTCTTTCATTTTGCGCACGTGCAGATGAAACAAACGATTAATTAATGGAGTACGTCAATATGTTAGTTTTTTCTGTATGACATAATTGATTGATCTCGATGATTACTACTAATTTTCCTCTCACGTCTTCGGAGCACTCTGCCATTTGACCGCGTGTTCGGAAATGACTCCTATCCATAAACAATAGAAAAGCAGGGAGATCAGAATGTGTCGATTGGATGTTCGGAATACAATAAAAAATAATAAAATTCGGAGGGGGAAATTTCAACTTCCGTGGACTGTATGTGAGTTGTACGAACTTTTCGGACAATCAGATTTGAATTATTCGTGAACTTGTACCATACCTCTTAGCGCTTGTCTGTTTCAGAAATACGATTTTTTTTCCTATGAACACATACTCCAAATCTTTGAAAATTCGAGCAATCTTTTCCGATGTGAAAGTATAAGAATGATCATAAAAATATATATTAGTAAAACATAATTAAGACACAACAGAATGATTTTCCATAAGCAAAATAAGAAACAATAATCGAAAATCGATATTTTCTTGTAGCTATTTTAGAAATGCCATTAGCCTAATCGCAAAGGTTATCATCTTCGGTAGTTTATTCAATCAACCAAAACAAGAATCAATTTACAACGAAGGAAAATAATGAGAATAATCTTGCACATCATCCAATCGTTCAAAAAAAAAATAATTGCTTCGCCTTAGCACAATTGCGTCGTGTTTCTTCTCTTGTAAAGTTGTTTGTCACAGTTTTTAAGCGATGATAATGCACTTTCAATTCGGTTAGGCAAGGCATATAGGCCTTTGCTTCATTTAAAAATTGTTCAAGATAATCTTCATGACCATGGTTCACATCAAGTGAAGTAAGATGCGGATATTCAATCATTGAATACGATTGACTATGGTCAGATGATAATTTCATATAAGCAGACACCTGTGGTTCGATATTGAAAACACGTAAATACTTCAGTAATGGAAACGATCGGGCGATTCGAACGAAGAATTCATGTTTAAACCCATCTTTATCGTTCACAAGTAAATATGTAACGTAATTAAATATAATATTTGGAAATGTATTGCCAAGATGTCTCAGATAATCAAATGCAGAAGGCAATGAGAAAATTGAGCATTCAAGTGTGTATATGCTAAGATAATTGACGATAGTAGCCGCATTTTGTTGCCCGATATTTATCAATGTTTGTTGAATATGTTGACGAGATAGATTAAGAGATAAATCACGAATGTCAAGATAAGTACTAATAAAGAAAGTGAATGAATGAAGTTGTGGCATATAAACAAGAATATCATCTTGAACACAAGTACCATCAATGATTCTATTTCGACCTTCTATACAAAGATATAAAGTTAAATGTTTCAGATAAGGCATACGACGAAGAAGAGATGGTATGCGTTCATATTGTTGAAATTGAAAGTAAGATTTTATTGAAAAACATTTCAGATTAGGTAACCTATCCTAGGAAAAAGAAAAATTTCTTCATTAATCTAAAAGACAAATTATGAGCATGATCATTTGTCATGATAATCATATTTTCTACTCAACTTTGTTTTTTTTCGAAAAATACATTATTTGTAGGTTCCGTTTCAAAAGTGACACAAACTTATGTGAAAAATTATCTTTCCGCATCGTCAGCAATGCTGATATCATAACTGGATATGTCTGTCTTTCAATTTTCTAACACCCGAATATGGGTTCTGGCTCCATATGCGTAGTAATGAAACTCTTTGTTGACACTACGAGTTCTGCGTATTAAAAATGGTAAAAATACAAATTGATCAATTCGATTATGAAATTTTCGAGAACATTTCTGTCATATCTCAATGATGAGAAAGATTGGTATACTATAGAAAAGAATTCATTCTATTCAATGCTAATAATCATACATATATCATTATATGCAATCAATGATAAAAAACGATTTAATCCGTGACTCCTCTGACAAATCACTTTATGATGATTATTTCAAGCAATAAATTTCAATCTTTTGATCAAGTTCAAATTCTTAGTAAGTATAAATATTTCATGACCAACACTTATACATCAGTACTTATCCGATACTTTTCGTTGTTAATATAACATGAAAGCATTTGCCCATGTTGTCGATTTTTGATCAAAATCGACGGTTAGAGCGGTTTTATCTTTAATTCATCGATTCTTTAAATTTTACTGACAAATTAACACTTTTAGTGATCAAAAAAATTAATTGCAGCTCAAAAATTTGAATATTTTCTTGCCACAGTAAATTATTTTACATGGCGCCGCTAATTTCGCCGTTGACTAAGTCATTTAACAAATAGCTATTTTTTATGGCGCTATCTTTAATAAAAACTAAACACGAAAACTAAGCAAATTTGGTTGATATGGCTGGTACCAACGGCGTCAGTACACTTACACTAAATCGAGCCAGCAAGTTTGACTAACATTTATCAATTTTGTAGGAGTCAAAAAAATTTCATTTATGATTATGTTGGAAAAAATTGATGTGCAGTGCAGAATCGCGGTTTTTGACCGGTTCGAGTACATGGGTGATCCTTAGTCATGAATCAAAAATTTGATGAACTAGTAATTAACTGTCTCATAAGTAACATCATCATCTATGAGAATTTACCGTGTTGTGAACAATTATTGAAGATCTGTCTATGGAATAAACATTAACATTAAATGTCGCCAATTGCTCGAGTCGACCATCAAGTAAATAAAGACAATCATCAAAAGTTTCTACCATGACGCATAAATGAGTCAAAATTCTAGAGTAAAAAGTAGTCGACGGTAAACCACAAAGTGATAGACCTGGACATAAGTTAATATATGGTCCAATAATATTGAGATGTGTTAAATTTTTGAAGAAATTCAAGATGTGCGCATATACATTTCTTGTATACTCTTCCAATGAACCTATCCTTCTGCTCTTATCATTATTAACAAGAATAAGGCTGGTAATTTGTTGTTGGAAAACAAATCGCACCGACGACTCATCTAAAGAAAAAACAACGAAGCTTACAATAGACCATTCTATCTAACGTTTTGGTTTCTAAATCATGAAGTGCATGTTAAGTGTTGACCTGTAAAATATTTTGAAGCAATTTGTTGTTCGAAATTGAAGAGTTTAAGTTCAGTGAGATTTGGATAAACGGCAGCAAGAAGAATACGTTCCATGAAAACTGGTTCAAGTATGAAATATTTGATATTGTGACGAATTCTTGGTAATATGTAGATGCAGAATCGATCAATTAAAGAAATATTATCAGTATTTACGAAATTGAGCACATTAGTGAACGTTTTTTGTTGCGCGAAAATGTCAAGTCGTCCATTATTAATGTCCAATAATGAATAAAGAACATCAATATTATTCAATTTTCTCAAAATGATAAGTATTATTTCATTAGGCAGATCCAAAAGATCAATATTAGATAAATTCATCTTTTGTTGTATCTATATATGTTTATTATTTTCTTTTAATCACTTATCTCATGATAAAATAGAATGGATGAGCTCATTCATAAAAAGTGAAAAAAATCTACAGTTCAATGCAATGATTAGTGATTGGCTGTCGTTTTTTTCTTTCCATCAATTCTTTGTACGTACAAAGAACGACTTCTTTGTGTTCATTGGAACGGAAATTGAAGAATGGCATTAAGAAAAAGAAAGAACCCAGGTCGACTGATCCGATAGGAACCTGGAAATATCCTACAATCCGATACAATTCTATTGGATTCCGGGTCGAGGAATCGATGTCGGATCCTCAGTGTCGGAATGCTATGAACTTCTGATGACATCCAACGGTTTTTCGCTGGAATTCATAGGAATCCAACACTGAGGATCCGACATCGATTCCTCGACTCGGAATCCAACGATAATTCTGTAAGATCTGGCAGGATCCGATAAAATCCTATTGGATTCCAGTCGGATCGGATGGGTTCCGATAGGTGCCTACTGTCGGATTGCTCGACCTGGGAACATATGTTTTTTGGCATGCATTTAATGTAATACCGAAAAATATAGCAATCCATATCTAAATTATTACAGTAGTATTTATTCAGGTGAAGCAACACATCTTTAAAAGAATTGTTTGATTTAATGTTGTAGTCAAACATCTTTTACATCAATTAATTGAAAGAGTATATATGAGCTAGGAATGACGATAAGTGATAGGAAAAAAGTTAGTCTAAAGAATATAAAAAGTATATACCATTAAAAAAGTGGCAGAATCATTATCAGATGATGATAAAACAGGTTCATAGACTCTGGTGTACAAGCTTTGTGCAATAGTTTTCTTTTTTTCTGTTTTTTCGTTATAATTGATAATTTTATCTTTATTTTCTATTATTTTAATTATTAATTAGATGTAACTTTTGTGTTGTTAGATAGTGCTACTTAATAAATTAGATGTAAATAAATTTAAAAATTAGATATAGATTGCTATATTTTTAGGTATTAGTTTATACTTACCTGAGGGTGTGGGTGTGAGTCTGTTCTTGTTATGCACACATAGACCCGCGGGGGGGGGGGGGGGGGGGGGGGGGGGGG